TAATTATAAAAAAAAATGCTCTGCCTGAGAAATATTATTTCGGATTTACCCTAGCGATTAATGGATTTTTGCGAAGAAAGAACTAAATAAATATTTAGATTACATTTGTAGAAATAATTCAATAAAAAAAATAGCTTTTCTTGATAAATTAGGATAAAAACATTTATTGTTAACTGTTGCTAGTTGAAATACGGAAATTCGAAAAATGTTAGTTGACTGAACTTGATGTTCGAGAAAGATTGAAGTTGATAAATTTTGATTCTTATCTCATGATTAAGGTGTAAATCATTCAATTTAAATGCTTCTAATGTTTCTTGATACTTCGCTTGTTGTTCTAATCTTTCATGATCATTTCATAAGCAATAAATGATGCACTTGTTTCATTATACGTGTTTTCTGGAATTCCAGAATTGCTTTCGAGGATATCAGTTTGAAAGTTACTTAATCATTTTACTTTTCCTTTTTTTATTTTTTTTTATTTTTCCTATCTATCATTTGTTCCCTTTATTATAAATTTTTTTCAAAATAGTTAAAGATGAGAAAAACGTTACACTTAAAAAGTAATCTCACTATATTTTTAACGACAGCCTAAAAATTTTGTAATAAATTTATAATATGTTATCAGCAGTTGTTTTATAATATTTTCCTGAAATATTCATAAAAATACAGGATAAGAAAAAATAAAATATTAAAACAGTAGAGGCTTCTGATGTGTTAAAAAATAAATAATTGACACTATGTTGTTTTTATTTAGTTGGAATAGAGGAATACTTAGCGATATTGGAGAATGCTGAACTATAAAATAGTAAAGCGACTGGTTTCAGAAAGCTTGCTATTATTTATTTTATTTTACAACCGGTGTTGAGTAGCTAATTCAATTCTGAGTTTACAACTATCGTTGTTCAACTCCGTAGCCTTGTCATTTTGAACCCAACCCAGAAGAAAAGGGAACTGCTGGATCACGAAAAACTAGCCTTCGTGGAAGAACTGACCAACACCTCCTAGAAGTAGGAAGGCCTTAACAAGAATCAATTCAGTAGTCGGATGTGACGAAGTTAACTGCGCAGTAGATGAAAAATAAGAAAGATGTCATTACGTTCGGGGTACTAAGCTGCGCAGTGGTTGAAAATATGAAATATGTCATTACGTTTGGACTACTAAAGGATATTTATGATAACCTGTGCTGAGGCCTGCTCTTTTCTAGGAGGTGTTGAACTGTCCCGCATTTGCGTGACATAAATGGGATAATCACGAAAACCTCCGACGATTTGCTTGATGGCAAGGGAATTTTACTCTAAGAACCGCCTAAAACAGAGGATATTTTAAGTCAGCACTGTGGTAGGTGACAGCCGGGAGCAGAATTCGTATCTACCGGTCACCACTAGAATTCGAACCTGGATCACTTCATTGGGAGGCGTAAGCTCTATCCCCTGAACCACCGTGGTTCCTTGCTATTGCTAACAATGTATTAACCATCCAACCGTAGACCAATAGTAGTTATTAATACTGTTTAATAGTCGGTGTCTAATCAATAAAAACATGACCCACCAAATTCTCTAGTCCCCTTGCCCCTTGCTATATATTTTAAAATTAACCTATTGGTGCTTTTTTTTCTTTTTTTTTTTAATGAAGTTTTAGGGATAAAAATTATGTCTCTAAAAAAGCAGTGATAATTGTGATGGCTTTTCATTAATTTTTGAAAAAGAAATTATGGGCTCAAAACGCAAGCCTATTATTGCATATGCAATAATTAAGCTCGATCTATTGCAAATATTTGTTATTATGCAAAACGTTGTTGATTCTTGAATAAGATAATATTTGCTTTAATATTAGAACAATGCATAGTTCTCTGCAATAAAAAGGATAAATTAAAGTATTCATTAAAGAAAATTATTTGGGAACGGATTACAAGAAAAATTATTCAAACTCTTAAACATGGCAACAGTGTGGCCACAATCTGAAAAAACTGAGAAGAATCGGAAAAATTTAAAAACTGGTACGGAATGATAGAAGAAACAAAAGATTTTAACGAATTCGTACTAAAGAAACAAGCTTGTAAATTTTAGGAAACATATTTAGTTGTTAAAACAGACTAATTGCATTCTTAACATATAAATTGAAATTCAAACTATAAATTTTTTAACAGCCGCATGAAATATTTATCATCACTTTTTTAAGTTTTTCCACTCTATGATCACCCTGAGTAATCACCTTGAGTTCTACTACTGTAATTTGAAAGAAAAAAAAAGGCATCTTTATGAAAAGCTGTGACCCTCTTCAAGGATTAGAAGGATAAGATCGACTTAAATCAAAATGAATGTTACTTAAAATGAAATAAATTCTAAAAGACATTGCTATGAAAAGAAGATTTGCTATGAAAAGAAAAATATACTATCAAAATTTACATTTTAGCACTAAATATTTAATAAAAATGCTTATAATCGATAAAATTTTAAATTTTAAAATCGATATTTTTTTAATTAATATATATATGGGTCATTCTCACAAAAACAGTCATTTTCATGTCCCCAGTATATTTTATGTTTGTTTTACAACTTACGAAAAAAAAATTTTCAGGGAAAGTGTCCTTCAGAATGCAAGCTAGCAAAAGAATAAAAATAAAATTATCAATTTTTATTTTTTATTAATTTTAGGTAATAAAAATATACCAATATGTCATTCCCTCACTTGTCCCCACTGCTGATTTAAAAAAAGAAAAAAATTGTTTCTGAAATAAAAAA